AGTGACCATGTGGTCTTTGTACAGACCAGGACCTCTGCTGGAGTCCAGTACCCACAGCTGATGTGTTGCTGTTCAGTCTTTGTATGAACATGTAGGACCTTTAACATCAGATATATATCTGTCCATTTGTCTCTTGTTTGTCCAAATAGTTTGAATATTTACACATTTGTCCTGTAAGAGTTCAGATGAAACATTCAAATGTGACTGAGACTGTGGTTTTTATCAGCTTTGAACCCTAACAGCAGTAAATGCATCATTCCAGTGGGCAGTGAATGTCTCTCTGTTTCTGCAGTAATGATGCGTTCAGGGACTCTCAGCACTTTATTTCCACTGTGTACTTCAGTGAAATCTGCAGAGTCAACAGACTTGATGTCCAAAGTGTGTGCAGGTCTGTGAGCTTCAGCTCAGTGTGTTCACTCCAATACGTTAACATGAGAGCTGAAAGGAAGCAGGCTACACTACACAGCCGCTCCACTGCTGGTCTGAACTGGACTGAAGTCCCTGCTGCTCTTTATACTGGATGTGCTGATGGAGGGAGTCTCTGCAAACACTGATTTATCTCTGCTGTCCTCTGTCTCCTTCTCTCCTCAGCTGGAAGTGATCTCAGTCAGACAGTGAGTGGTGAGGAAGGAGGTTGTGTTGGAGGATCCGCTGTGTCCTGATGATCCAGAGAGGTTGAAGCAGCAGCATCAGCTCTGACTGGGCCATGTTACTGGGAGGTAGAGTGGAGAGGAGAGCTTCATCCAGCAGTGACTGACAGAGGAATCACAACCAGTGGAGACGACTCTCAGTTTTTCCTTGCCCTTGTCTCCAAGGTCTTGCTCATGGTGGTACTGTTGGGTCTCTGTAAATAATGTTATAAAGAGTTCGGTCTAGACCTGCTCTATTTGAAAAGTGTCCTGAGATAACTTCTGTTATAAATTGGAGCTGTACAAATAAAACTGAATATAATTGAATGTAAAGCAGAGTTCACCTGTATTTATAGCTCATTGGTTTTACACTGTAAATATCTTTAATTAAACATTAAAAAGACAAAAAAATAATGGTGACGTCTTTCTTATCTCGTAGTTTTGACATTTTTAGGGCTAACGATTACTTTCATTGTCGATCATTTTCTCGATTAATCAATAAGTAGTTTGAAAAAATGAAAAAAGCTTTTTATATAAAAATTGAATATTGAAATAGTTGGCGATTCATTTGATAGTGAACTAATTGATTAACTGACAGCTATATATATTTACACTGTAAGAAAAATGATATTTTAACAGTAAACTGGCAGCTGTGGTTGAACTTTACTGTAATAAAACATATAACCTATTACAGTAAAATAATATTAATACTGTTTTATTCCATATTTTACTGTATAAATGCAACTTTACCATCAAAAGAAACAGTTTTGTATGAAAGCACCGTATGAACGCTGTATAAATACAGGTTTTGATATGAGATATGATGTGTTTACTGTTACAGAAACTGTATTTAACCTACACTCGGAAAAATGAATCATGGCATCGTTTATTTTTAAGTATTTGCATCTATTTGATTTTATTTAAATAATACAATGTTAAGAATTTATTTATTCAAATTCCTTAAAATCAACATAAATCTGTTAATTGCGAAACCAATGAAGCTGAATCAGTTAAAACGTATGAATATAGTTTAAATATGACGAGCTGTGGCTCAACAAAGATTCATTTAGTTAAAATGTATAAGATTGGTTTCCATTAGGTTCGCGTAAAGATTTCAGTACATCCATGCTCCACACTCCAGTAGGTGGCGGTAATGCAACTGGTTTGTCAACGGCCTTTGAAATTCCAGTTCAGAGTCACTCACTGGAGAAGAAGAAGGACTTTTTCCCGCCGTCTGCACCAATACATCCACGGTCTGCTCTGCTCACACCTTCGCTCAAGCTAGTTGCAACTACTTTATGCGTCTTGCACTGACTGTCAGTTACATGTGCATTTGTCTTAGTATAACCTGCCAGTTATCAGTGTTTGTACGTTATTAGTGCAATTCACATCATATCACACTAATATAAATATATCGACTATCAAATATAGCCTACATCATTGTAGACATTCCCGTGTAGTCTAGTAGCTTGCTAACTTCCACCTAGCCAGTGAGCTATTTTTGTTTAGCCAACACGGCTAAGTTTAGAAATTAAAATGACTCATTAGTTCATTTAAAATGAGCGACTGACTCTTGTGCTTAATGAGATATTCTCACAAGCATTGGGCAGTTAATTCTATTATCATATATTAGCCCTGCACCGCAGACTTCAGGTGACTCTCAGCCAAAGATGGCTCAAGGCAGCCACAGCGGACTTGACCGCCTGCTTCATGTTCAGACAGTGTTGCTCCACTCACTAGCGCAACACGTCCGGTTGAATGTTAACGGAGCCGGTGGTCAGTCGGTGGGAAGGTTGCATGGTGGAGTATGTTGTTTTTATTAATTTTGCACTAATGGATTAGAGCAGCCACACTGTTGTGTCATAACAAAGTCTTACTTTCAAGATATTAAAAACTACATGTGCAAATGATTCAGTGTTAATAAACGTTTGTTATTGATTGTGAAATTCATTGTGTGGTCACTGGCTCACAATTTTAGAGCGGGTTAACATAATCCATTTTGAATAATGTAAAACAAATATGGGCCACTGTGACTATAAAAACTATTAAAATACTACTATAAAAACTTTACATGATCAAAAACAGAAGCTGATGTAGTCAGTAAATGCATACAATGTTGGTCTAATGGAGGACTACTGTTACTAAAAACGTAAAAACTGATACTTTGTGATTTCATGAGCAAGGAAGGAGTTGTAGAATTGATTAAATGCATTTTGTTTCTAATTAGAACTTCTTGTCTTTTACAGGTACATAATTCTAAGAACCATCCTTTTACATCAAGTGTATGCCGGGGCAACCTCTTTGTTTTTGTAAGTATGGAGGCTACAAAGATATAGAAAATAGAAAACTCAACATATTACAGTGAAACTCATTTTGATGTTCAGATGAATCAATATAAAAAGCATCAAAATCCATAGCTGGGTTACATGACCCTTTGTCTAAAGGGTGTGCTGGCTGTGTTTAACCATCCAGCTGAAAGACAGTTGTTAACGACTCTACAACTAATACATTGTTTTTTGTCTTTGTTCACAGATATGTGAATGTGGCCATGTAAAGTGTGTAACATTTCATTATCTAGCAGGTATGAATTGTTTCTTTGTTTATTCTCCAGGACAGCGAGTGCGCAGAGGCCGAGTTGGGGATTGCACAGACAACAATTGGCATCTACGTCATTCGGGTGGATGGTGCTGATCCTGGAGACGAGATATATGCAGATGTTGGTGTCGTACTTGAAGGTGTGGAAGTTCTGCAAAACCTACCAAGTGTCACCCTTGGATGCGTGATGCTTTTCGGACTGATTTATACACTTAAGTTAAGCTACCCTAAGGACCTCAAGAGCACATTTGAAGTGTTCCAGAAAATCCTGATGGAACTGGACACGACCAAGCTTTCACCAAAAGTCCAAGCACTGAAAATGAAGATGTTCCAGTGATGGGCCTGATACCTGATATGCAGATGTTTCCCTCTGGAAAATGAATAGCAAAGCGACTGCAATTTTCAGTGCTTGTTTGAGTGTTTGCAAATTTTGCAATGTGTTTACAGTTCTTGGTTGTTATCGCTGCAGAATATCTCCATGCACTGGTAATTAAACACGTCAGTGGGGTGGTGCAAAGCCACTCAACCACTTAGCTTTAAGGCAGTGTCTTGGATTGATCAGGTAACGACTCAAATTTCAAAAAAGGAATGTCTGGGAATCCTTGAAATGTTGGTGTACTGTAAGCATACAGTGATCCTGCTTGATTTACCTGTCCTGAAGTTTCATACAGTTAAGCAGAGTTCTTGATGCAGTTTGTTATTGATGCAGAAAGGTCTGTTTCCAAATGTTTAACATTTAAAATGATAAAAGCAAATGTGCTTATGCTGATTCAGAGACCAAAAGTCCAAAAACTAAAAGTTAATATGTGACTGTGTAATTCACCTGATGCACTGATGTTGCCCTCTGGAGAATGCAGTGCAGCAAAGTGGTTGACTTGCTGCAAATTTCAGTACATGTGAGTTAGCCTTTCCCCACATTTTTGTACTTGTATATTCCTGCACTTTTATTTATCAAAATTTAATATGCATACTTCTGGATGTGCAAAGCCACCCAGACACTGAGCCTTAAATCAATTATTTGGATTGTCATGTAAACATATGTTAGGGATTCCTTGAAGTGATGGTGTACTGTAAGTATTACTGTTATTCAGGTTGATTTACCGGTCTACTCAAGTATTGCACACTTGTACAGTTGTTGAGGGAGTTTCTTGGTGTACTGTACTGTGAAATTGTTTTGCATCCCAGGAAGCTAGAAGCAGGTTCAGCCTTCCCTTGATTTAGTTTAAATGTTTGCATTTGTTGGGCTATTGTGTGGCAAAATAAGTAAAATGTCTCTGCCTAAATGTGCACAAATGAGTACATTTTATTTTTATGTTTTTGGTTTATTTTTGTTTGTATTTTTTGCATGCTGAAATGAGGGCATTTCCTTTTGGTAATTGTTTTTCTTCTTTTCAACACATGTGAATGAGCACTGGTTCTGTGTCCAAGTATGTCTTGCCAGCTCCTCTTTTATCACGCTGAATGGAGGTGGTGTAGTGTGATGTGTTCCTGCCTTGGAGTTTTTTCAGTGCCAGAACTTGCCACATGCCTTGAGAAGCTTAATAAATAAAATGTTAAACAAGCTGATCTGACTGTTTATAATATTGTTATTGTAGATATTACTGTAGGTACAGGCTGAATGAAAAAAAAAAAAAATATCTGGTTAAAAATGTAAAATGCATTGGGTTTATTATTTCAAGTATATAAACTTTATGCATTTCATTTAAATTGCATAAAGTGCATAAACCTTTTTCTAAGCATTTCAAATACACTGGAGTAATTCATATTGAATACATTCACTCATTCTTAAGTATTTGAAACAAATATGATTTATTAATGATGAATACATAAATCTGTCATTGTTTATTCAAAACACATTGAGTTTGTTAGTATTATTACATAAATCTCATTCTTAATTGTTTCATTAACATTTGAATGACAAATATGCAGCACATAAAGTTTATTGGCCTGTTTATGTTAAATCTAAGTAATTCAAATGGATGGAAATTTTATGTGCAATTGAAATACATAAATCTTATGAATTAGGCCTAAATATTTCTGTGAGTGTATTTAGAGTTTACAGTCTTTTCTTTTTTACAGTGATTGATCGCAGTGATCAATCGCAGTGATTCAGAGAGGGCTGGGATGTGTGTGCTGGCTGTGTGATGAAGCTGTTTCATATTCCCCCTCTAGAGCTCCTGTAAGTTTCACTTTCCAAAGTCAAACTTCTGTGCAGTGAGGGCGTTTCCTGACTGGCCTCCACTTTATTCTTATCTTATCTTCTTCAGAGGCTCCATTTTACAACTAGAGTGGAGAAAACTGACCTCATTAATACCACATACAGTTGTTTGTGTGTTGTATTAATGTTATATTTTAGTGTATCTGAGTGTTGCTGCACACTGGAGTCCACAGACAGTACACTGTGAGTGACTGGAGCTGAGACACATACTTCATACCACCGCTGCATAGGTCAGTGCCCCACTTGACCTCCGCAGTCATAAAAGTCTGGAAAGACCCCTGCTTCTGTGAGGAACACTAAATGTAAATTGTCTAATAGAACAAAAGTGACAAGAAAACACTGAATTTGTCAAAAAAATAAGCTTAAAAATGTTAAAATTGATTAAATAATACAGAATACAGACAGAGAATTTTATATAAAAGTTCCCTAACAGGAAATAATCTCTGGTTTTACACAAACTTCCTGCAGTTACTGAGTTCACTGTTTGGGTTCATTGGACAGTTTTAATATAATATAAAACATTTATAAAATATATTTGATATTAATATAATAGTAATATGTCACTGAGTCAGTTTATTAATGAGATATTGGGAACCACGGCGGTGTGCCTCGTGTTCATGTGTTTTGGCAATGCCCAGTAGTAATGTTGGAGCTCTATATTTAAATCTCAGTCTGATATCTTTGGACAGGAGGTGGAACCTGACCCGCTGCTGAGATCCTCCATAAACCCTAACAACCCTTCAGGCAGTAAATATTCTCTCAATAAGGAGACTATTATGTAAAATGTCCCCATGAAGCAGCTTTGTTCTGTTGGTTAATGTTTACACTGAAATGAGCCGGTACTCACCAACCCTTCGTCCACACGAGAACTTCTGACTGCACCTTTAAAAAAGAATGAGGGTTTGTGTTGTGTTCAGGGGTTTGTGTTGTGTTCAGGGGTTTGTGTTGTGTTCAGGTGTTTGTGTTGTGTTCAAGGGTTTGTGTTGTCTTCTGGGGTTTGTGTTGTGTTCAGGGGTTTGTGTTGTGTTTAAGGGTTTGTGTTGTGTTCAGGCACTGTTATACTGTTTATTTTATATAATTTATAAATGTATATTTTTTTTTTATAGTTTCTTAACTAAAATACTGATAAACAGACGTAATGAATGAATAAAATGTAAAAAGAAATATTAATGTTTATAAAAAAACTACTATTTTACACTAAGGCTATAACATTACTACAAATTAAAAGCCAGATTAAAACTATTAAAAGTCTTTTGATGGGTCTGATGATACTCTACTGTCATAGTTGGGGAATAAAATTAAATAAATAAAACATTTTATTGAGCTTAAATTAAAATACATAGGTTAAATAATACATAAATAATCAAAAATAATTAATAATTTTGATAAATTCTCTTTATTTATTATTATTATTATTTATTTAGTTCTAAGAGCCTTTTTATTTGTACATTTATTGATTATAAAATGCTTTAAGCACAATAAGAGAGACTCTCTCTGTCTGCTGATCCGCACTCTGATGTAAGGAAAGTGAAACTTAAGGAAACAGAAACAGACTCAGTATAAGAGCAGCTGCTGACTCCTCAGCAGGATCAGACTCAGGATGGGAGTTCAAGGTCTGGCTTCTTTGATCAAGAATCACCGGACCATCTACCGGGACGTCCGGTTCAGGAAGAGCCGGCTGGTGATCGACGGCTGCAACCTGATCTACCTGCTGTACTTCAACTCAGGTAGGAACAAAGTGCTGCTTGGCTCTTATCTGCATAAGACATTTTACTGTTAATACCATTGTGACCAGGAAGCCATTGTTTCCAAACCAAGAGCAGACAATGAGAGTAGCTCAACCTGCTTTACGTGACCTCCGCTGGCTGTCAAGGTGACGACCGCAAAGCCAAACCAGTGGCTTCAAAGCAGTTCTCCACAAACCGATGGGTGACGCCACAGGATCACAGTTGGTGCAAGAACATGTGTCATAATGTGTCTGAGTGCTGTTGTTCTCCATATATGGCCAAACCTACCAGCGTGGTTGGCTCAGTCACACTGTTGCCTCACAGCAAGAATTCAGATCCTGCGCTGACATTTTCTCCCCGTGTTCGTGTTGGTTTCCTCCAACTATAGTCAGTTCTCCTGTCAGTACACCAAGGTACTGACCTACAACTGTAGTCCCTGAGAACACATTTCAGTAAAGGAAAACTTAACTTACCTCAGTGACCAACTCAGATTCCCCCTGACGATGCATTAAAAATCCTTCAGGAGACCGAGTTGAAGAACAGGAGCCTCAGACAGTTTCCCCCAGACCTGGTCCAACCCAACCTCACCCGAACTCATCTGCTGGTTATAAACTATCTTATGCTCAGATATGGACGGTCCATCAGTCAGGTTCAGATCAGGCAGGCTGCTCCTCACTGCCCACATACAGCGCCCCTCCTCCGTGTTTAATTCCTTGTTACATTAGGTAAGTTGTTAGTAATGTGGTGCTCATTGTGTTTTTGATTGCTCAGGTCTGGACCAGAATCGCGGCGGGGATTACGCTGCGTTTGAGGACCTCATTGAGAAGTTCATCAAAGCCCTCAGAGATTGCGAGGTTACACCGTACGTGGTGCTGGATGGAGGCGCCGACTACACCGGCAAGAAGCTGGAAACTCTGACACTCAGAGCCAAGGGTCGGATTGCGAGAGCCCATCAAGCGGCGGTAGGAGACACAAAGGAGGATATCCTGCCACAGCTGGTGAAGCTGACGTTCAAACAGACGCTGGCCCGGCTGGAGGTCCCGGTGGCTCAGTGCTATGGAGAGGCCGACCAGGAGATTGCCGCCCTGGCCAAAGAGTGGCAGTGCCCGGTGCTTTCCAATGACAGTGACTTCTACATCTTTGACCTCCCGGCGGGGCTGCTGCCCATCTCTTATTTCCAGTGGGAGGCTGTGGTGCAGAGCGGCTCGCAGAGCTACATCCCCTGTAAGAACTACAACGCCTCCAGCTTCTGCATCGTCTTCAACATCCAGCGCCAGCTCCTGCCCACCTTCGCTGCCTTGGCTGGGAACGACTACGTGAAGCTGGAGAGGATGGACTCGCCCGTCCATTGGACTCAGTTCTGCCCGGCGAGCAGCGAGACGCCAACCTGCCTGGAGGGTCTGCTCTGCTGGCTGCGGGACTTCCACCAGACTCAGGAGGCTTTTGAGGCAGCGCTGGGGCTGATGGGAGAGCTGAGCACAAAGAGAAAAGCGGGGGTGCTGGAGGGCTTGTATCTGGGCATGGAGGAGTACAAGCTCCCTCCCAGCTCCCTGAAGAGGTTCTTCACCCACGGGACGCCACCTCCGCTCCCAGCAGCAGAACAAGTAATAAAACCCTTTACTTTACTGTTAGAAAGACCTCATGTTGGACTGTAGGAACTTATGATGGGCTTTTTGAAATGTTTTATGACATCCAGTGGACAAAATTATTAATCAACTGAAAAAATAAGTGATAATAAAAATAAAGTGTAGTCCCAGATTCTGGTGCATGTTAATGGTGCAAAGTCTTCATCTGAAAACAATCCAATATTTTCATGACTACATTGTTCACTTTCTGCAGGTGGCAGGTCTTGTCCCAGACTGGGCCCGGTTACCGCTGACGCAGGCCCGGCTGACTTCAGACGTCTTGGACGTGCTGCTGCTGCAGAAGATGGACCTCAGCTTTGCTGTGGACCACGGCAAAATGCCCAGCATTCACCTGACCTCCAGGCCGCTCCGCCAGGTGATGTACGGGCTGCTGCTGGGCAAAGGGAAGCAGCTTCAGGTGCAGGAGAGAGACAGAGACGGCCTCCAGCTGAAAGTCATCCCAGTCCAACCTGCCTTCAGAGGGATCACAGGACGGCTGTTACTCAGTTCACTGGATAAGGTGAAGCTTTCATTTAAACTGCCACAAGTGCATCTTTATATTTTGTGCAAATGACCCTCCTCCAATTCAAAGCACAGCACTTTATTTTAGGGTCACATTACATTTTCCTTTCATAAATGGCACTATATGAGCAGATAACTTTCACTACGCAACCATCAAAGTTAGATGTGCAACAGCTAGTGTCTCCTTCCACCCCCTCCTCTGCTGTGTAATTTACTCTTCAGCTAAAGACGGCACACACAAACACACATAAGTGATCACTTACAAACTAAACACGACATAAACACTGAATTGTGTTTAATGTTTCCTGTTATTATTCAACCCTCACTCTTCCTGTATGTTGGCCCCAGGCGGAGCCCTCTCAGCGTCTGCAGGTGTTACTGGAGGCTCTGGGGGCGACCGAGGCCTCTCTGAGCCGTCTGCCGCCTCAGCTGCGCCTCCCGGTGGCCGTCACCTGCTACTGGCTGCAGAGAGCTCAGCCTCATCCAGATGTGAGTCTGTTGAAGGCGCTGCTGCTGGGAATAAGTAACGGAGAGGGCCTGAGACAAAGAGCAGGTATCAGTCACAAACATTAGGTACAATATCTGGGTTTCCAACTGACTGCTGATTGACTGATCAGTTACACATTCACACTGTATGTGTTATCTGTTGCAGCTTTGATTCAGAGTGAACACTGTAAACAGAAGCTGGATGTGAGGGTGGTCCACGCCTTCAACCAGTGGCAGGCCTGCCTCAAGGACAGCCTCCACCTGAACCAGCTGCTGGGCTTCCCGTTACCTGAACCACAGATCGCACGGTGGGTGAAAGACTGCTGGAGCTAGCTGAAATCACAACAACACGCTATCACAGTAACGGAGGAATTATTCAGATCTGAAGTGAAAGTATTTATACTGCACTGTAAAAATCTAATCAAAATTAAAAATGTTACTTAAAGCAACAAGGAACTTTCATTTTGTGGTCATTCTGGCGGCCCCTGTGGACAAAAGCGGTAGTGTCTCTACCACCTCGACCACACAGCCAGCCGGACAACCCCAGCTTAGCTTAGCTACAGTTAGCTAGTTGGATGCCCCTGCTAGTAGAGCAACCGAGCCAACCAACACATCTACTGAGATAATGTTTTGCTAGCGACAACATTAGCCAGCCACGCTGAATAACATTATCTGGCGCGGGCTAACAGCACAATCAGACAATATGTTCCACAAGCTCTGCTGTAATGTTTGACTTTGGACATTGTGTTGGTTTTGGTGGGTGTTGGTCGTTTGTAGACGTAAGGGTTAGGGTTTTAAATATTACATTTTATAAAGAAACATCATCTTTTAATGTCTCTTCATCCATATACATTTCTGTGGATTTCTGTTTCACTCCTTCTGTTTTTCTCCATCTCGTCCTTGATGTTGTCCAGGTTGTATGAGGGGACGTTGGTCCACCATCTGGTCCACTGCATGAGGACAAGAAAATTAAAGCACTTACTGAAATATAATCACTCAAGTATGAAACAGTACAAAACCATGCTGGCTGTCATCCACCAGTTTCGCGCTCGAGAGGCGCCGACGCCGTCCAAGACCCAGGAGAGGTCGACGGCTCGACAGCGGCAGTCGCTGTACGACCTGACCGTGAACCTGCAGCAGCTGTACGGAGTCAGCGACGAGGAGGTTGCGACTGAAGTCAGAAGTGCAGTCAAAGCACTGGAGGATATACATCTGGAGGATTTGGTGTTGTTGAGAACTCGATACAAAGCTAAAGAGAGAAACAACCGGAGCAAAAACCCTGAACTGGCCCGCAAAGAGGAGTGCAGGGGCGTGGACCTCCTCTGATCTCAGCCCACAAGCTCAGCGTCCGATCTACTTCAGTCCTGGTTCAGAAGCAAACTGGTGGTGCTGTTGAAAAATAATTTGTAATTAATCATGATTTCATTAGACACATACATGGACTTATCCCTTTAAAGCTGCATTCATTATTTATTTAGGGGCAGTTAAACAAGCTTTGAATACAATCACAGTTAGTGTCAAATTATTGGACTTAAATAAACGTGTGAAATAAACTTGATATTAATTATAACATTATTGTTAGTATTATATTAATCAAATAGACAGTACAGACCTCTGCCCTGTATCTACAGTGCTCACATTTGCCCTGTATCTTCAGCACTGACTTCTGCCCTGTATCTACAGCATTGACCTCTGCCCTGTATCCGAGTGCCCCATAAAGCCATTTAAGCTAAGATTGCCCTTAACTTTCCCTGTAAGTAGTTTTTACTGTACAGATTGAATTGTGGTATTGCTACTTTTATGTATGTGAGTAAAGTATCTGAATATTTTGAATATTTTCCACCACTGCTGAATTTGGACGGAGAAACACTGAGCGTATATCAGGGTTTTTGCCTTAAAACACATTTAAAACCTTTCATGCTTCATTTGTGCACAAAAACATTGTTCAATAAGGGAAAAATAGTTTTAAAATGTCTGATTTATTGTTTATTCTCTGCTTGTTGAAGAGTGCTTACATTTTCTTTCCTCCGTTGATCTGATGAGTTCAGTGTATTAAGATTTTTTCAGTCTTTTATAAAATGTTTTAATTCTTGCTGATTGAATTTGTTTTACTTCTCCGGTACTGAGAGTTGAATGTTTTAACTGGGAAAACACAAATGTCACAACATGAGGAAAACTATTTTCTGCACTTTGTAAGATTGTTTTGAAGTTTATTATTATTTAATTATCATGTTTTTGTAATTGAGGATGTGAATAAACTCTGCTACTCAAACTGCCCCTGTGAATATATACAGATGGAAATATGAATATAGGTACTGTTTATTAGTCAGTTTGACCCACATCTTTCTAATAGTTCTAAATGTTTAATTTCACTCAGATGTTCCTGAATGCTAATGACAAACTCAACTACTATATAACAACCATCATATATGCATTTTTACTACTTTAAGCCACATTTCCAGAGGCTTTGAAATATAATATGTAAGATGATGATTTAATTAGACACATACATGATTTAATTCCTTTAAACTTGCATTAATTATGTTTTGGCCACTTGGGTGCAGCAAAACAAGATGTAAAAACATTTGACACATCATCTCTTTATAAAGTTTTTAGCTATTTGTTAACTTATATGAACCCAGGATGAATGAAAGTCTGATATTAACTCTATTTCATCTAGTTTTTATCTCCACCAACTCCTTGAAAATATAGGTGCGGTTGTGTAAAAGCATTTAGGTTGAGAATGTTACATAAAATCATACAATAAGCATTTCCTTACAGATGCTGTCAATTTATAAAAGATGGACATTGTGACAGCTCCCCAAAAGTGACGCCATAACATATTGATCGCCCCCTGGTGGCTGGTTGCAGTACAGGTCAATTAGTGGTAAAGGTTATTAAAACAGATGTAGAGTTTACTGCCTGTAGTACAAAGTACTTTAACTACATGAAGCTGTAAATACTTCTGTACTTTTACTGTTCAGACTAAACTGTTTGTTGGACTAATTCTGTTTTATAGTAAATTTCCTTTAAGATCAAACTTATATTTTTATCCAAAAGCATTATGGGAAGTTTTTTTATTTTTGATATTGTGCTTCTTTGTAAAATGGTTTAACCACAATCACAGAGTGTCCATATAAAACTTGTTTCCTACCTCTGTGTGTCCTCCTCCCCTTTCTGATTGTGGCCTGTATTTCTTTATAGTCATATTTTCCATTTTCTTAAGGAGAATGAAATCCTGCAGCAGTCTGGTGATGACCTGCTAGGATACAAATTTTTAACACGGTGATGTCAGAAAAGTGAAACTTAAGGAAACAGAAACAGACTCAGTATAAGAGCAGCTGCTGACTCCTCAGCAGGATCAGACTCAGGATGGGAGTTCAAGGTCTGGCCACTTTGATCAAGAATCACCGGACCATCTACCGGGACGTCCGGTTCAGGAAGAGCCGGCTGGTGATCGACGGCTGCAACCTGATCCACCTGCTGTACTTCAACTCAGGTAGGAACAAAGTGCTGCTTGGCTCTTATCTGCAGTTAGAACTGATTTTATACACATTTTAATATTATTTTTTGTTTATCAGATGCTTTTTATAGCTATAACTCTCTTATCTGGATGAAGTCGGTGCAATAAACATTCATTTTAAGTTTTTATGAGCCTGTGAACAATGGTGAAGAAATATTAATAACTTTATTTATATAAGTAAAAGCAGCAATAGATTTATGCAAAAACACCAGTTTATGTTATATACACAGCAGAGAGGTTTATGTATAAATATAAAATTGGGTTATTAAAAGCGACTTGGGTGTATGTGAAGGAAAAAAATCCATCCAAACAAGTTAAACAACTTCTTGGTTTGCCCCATGACTTGAATATGCTGTAAACACAACGCCCTTAACACAGCTCATACTAACCGCACACCTGTTTGTGTCCACTACCTGCTCTCTCTTCCTCCACCTGCAGGCTGGAATACCTGATACCAACCTAACCAAGATGACACTGATACAAAAACAATACTAAACTTACTTTTGCACAATTAATCCTGTTACACAATTAGGTTTAGACATCCCATGAAGCATCAAAATATGAGCAGCTTTGTAACAAATACATTATATATAATTAGTCTCAGTCTTTGCCCACATACAGCACCCCTCCTCTGTGTTTAATTCCTTGTTACATTAGGTAAGTTGTTAGTAATGTGGGGTTCATTGTGTTTTTGATTGCTCAGGTCTGGACCAGAATCATGGCGGGCAATACGTTGCGTTTGAGGACCTCATTGAGATGTTCATCAAAGCCCTCAGACACTGCGGTATTACACCGTACGTGGTGCTGGATGGAGGCGCCGACTTAACCGGCAAGAAGGTCGAAACTTCAACGCTCAGAGCCAAGGATAAAGTGAAGAGAGCCCATCGAGCGGCGGTGGGAGACATGAAGCAGAATATCCTGCCACAGCTGGCCGAGCTGACGTTCAAACAGACGTTGGCCCGGCTGGAGGTCCCGGTGGCTCAGTGCTATGGAGAGGCCGACCAGGAGATTGCCGCCCTGGCAAATGAGTGGCAGTGCCCGGTGCTTTCCAATGACAGTGACTTCTACATCTTTGACCTCCCGGCGGGGCTGCTGCCCATCTCTTATTTCCAGTGGGAGGCTGTGGTGCAGAGCGGCTCGCAGAGCTACATCCCCTGTAAGAACTACAACGCCTCCAGCTTCTGCATCGTCTTCAACATCCAGCGCCAGCTCCTGCCCACCTTCGCTGCCTTGGCTGGGAACGACTACGTGAAACTGGAGAGGATGGACTCGCCCGTACGTTGGACTCAGTTCTGTCCGACAAGCAGCTGGACACCAAGCCGCCTGGAGGGTCTGCTCTGCTGGCTGCGGGACTTCCACCAGCCTCAGGAGGCCTTTGAGGCAGCGCTGGGGCTGATGGGAGAACTGAACATGAAGAAAAAGGCGGAGGTGCTGAAGGGCTTGTATCTGGGCATGGAGGAGTACAAGCTCCCTCCCAGCTCCCTGAAGAGGTTCTTCATCCACGGGACGCCACCTCCGCTCCCAGCAGCAGAAGAAGTAATAAAACCCTTTACTTTACTGTTAGAAAGACCTCATGTTGGACTGTAGGAACTTGTGATGGGCGTTGGGGTTAACCCGCACTGACCTGAGCCTCCTGCTTGTTGATGCACCTTTAGTGGATTTGTTCATTTGTGTTATTGGTAAACTCTTAATTTGAAAACAAACCAGTAATTACAGCTATAAGATAAATGTTAAGTATATTCATGAATACATTTTTTATTTTCTGCAGGTGGCAGGTCTTGTCCCAGACTGGACCCGGTTACCGCTGACGCAGGCTCGGCTGACTTCAGACATCCTCGACGTGCTGCAGCTGCACGGCATAAGCCTTGCCTTCACCGTGGGCGACGCCGACATGCCTAGCATGCACCTGACCTCCAGGCCGATCCGCCAGGTGATGTACGGGCTGCTGCTGGGCAAAGGGAAGCAGCATCAGGTGACAGAGTGTGACAGAGACGGCCTCCAGCTGACAGCGACTCTAGTCCAACCTGCCTTCACGGGGGTTTCTCAACAGCTGAGACTCAGTTCACTGGATCAGGTAATACACATGGGCCCCAAAAGTCTATTCCCCCTCAAACTTTTATTGTGAAAGAAGTGTCTATAAAAAGGTGAATAAATTCTGTAGTGCAACATAACCTTGAGAACTTGATTAGTTTGGTCCGATTACACCTGGGAAATCTAGAAGACACACACAAATTTTAATTCAATACAAAACAACTACAAGTGTCAGGATTGGTCAGGGGGACTGATCTTATATATTGACGACATAGACACTGAATTGTGTTTAATGTCTCCTGTTTTTATTCCACCCTCACTCTTCCTGTATATTGGCCCCAGGCGGAGCCCTCTCAGCGTCTGCAGGTGTTACTGGAGGCTCTGGGGGCGACCGAGGCCTCTCTGAGCCGCCTGCCGCCTCAGCTGCGCCTCCCGGTGGCCGTCACCTGCTACTGGCTGCAGAGAGCTCAGCCTCATCCAGATGAGAGTCTGCTGAAGGCGCTGCTGCTGGGAATAAGTAACGGAGAGGGCCTGAGACAAAGAGCAGGTATCAGTCACAAACATTAGGTACAATATCTGGGTTTCCAACTGACTGCTGATTGACTGATCAGTTAGTCAATTACACGTTCACCCTGTATGTGTTATCTGTTGCAGCTTTGCAGATTCAGAATGAACACTGTAAACAGAAGCTGGATGTGAGGGTGGTCCACGCCTTCAACCAGTGGCAGGCCTGCCTCAAGGACAGCCTCCACCTGAACCAGCTGCTGGGCTTCCCGTTACCTGAACCACAGATCGCACGGTGAGTGAAAGACTGTGCTGGAACTACATTTTACTAGATTTGTTACTGAAGAGGATTTATTGGCAGCAACAGAATATAATATTAATAACTCTGTTTTCTAGCTGATGTTAAATCTTCATCATGTTCAGGTTGTATGAGGGGACGGTGGTCCACCATCTGGTCTACTGGATGAGGACTGGTGGAAAACTGAAGTACTTTTTGAAGAGTGATTGCTCAAGTGTGAAACAGTACCAGGCCATGCTGGCCGTCGTGCACCAGCTTCCCACTCAGGAGGTGTCGACGCCGTCAGAGATCCAGAAGACAGCGGCGTCTTCACAGCGGCAGCCTCTGAACGACCTGACGGCAAACCTGCAGCAGCTGTACGGAGACGAGGACGAGGAGGCTGCGACTGAAGTCAGAAGTGCAGTCAAAGCACTGGAGGATATACATCTGGATGATTTTGTGTCGGTGAGAACTCGATACAAAGCTAAAGAGAGAAACAACCGGAGCAAAAACCCAGAACTGGCCCGCAAAGAGGAGTGCAGGGGCCTGGACTTCCTCTGATCTCAGCCTAATAATAATTTATAATTCATCATGATTTCATTAGACACGAGTTAATCCCTTTAAAGCTGCATTAATACAATTCTGGCCTCTTAGGGGCAGTAAAACAATCTGACATGTTATCTCCTTATACAGTTTTTAGCTGTTTGCTAACACATTTTACAAACTTCTGATGAATAGTCCAATATTCACTCTCCTAGGACCTGCAGCTCTTTAGCTGCTAAATGCTCCACCGCGTTTGTGTCGTCACTCCAGAACAAAGACCAAGTGTGTAGTGGTTTCTCTTTCTCTGAGTTTTTCTTTTTTAATAGTAGTAATATTTAGAAGAGAGTTGAAATGTTGTGTATTTCTGTTTGTATGGGTTTCTAAGCATTTTAAGTTGATCTATCGTGCATTATTTCATTTAAGGAATTTAAGGTGTTTTCAGGTTGTATGCAGAGTCTTAAAAAGTCTCTACATATATTTATGAATATATATTGTAATTATATATAATATTTATCCATTTAATTGATTTGTGTAACATGACAATGGCTGAATTCATGTTGATTGAAGACTGTGGAGCTTAAATCAGGGTTTTATCCTTCAAAACGTCGTTTAATCTCATGTAGTCAAAGTTTTACAGAAACTTTTTGTGCTTCATTCTGTACAAAAACATCAGATGAATAAGTGAAATTCAGTTTTAAAATGTAGATTTCTTTCTGTTCTGTTTATGGAGGAAAGATTTTTTAAAAATCCATCTTTTGTAAATTCTTGAACTTTCTTGATGAATTTCTCTGTAACTGATGAATGTTTTAACATGAAGAACATTTGTAAAATTCTTATTTTTTCAATGTCAGATTTAATTCCTAAATGTATTTGCAGTCAGGGAGGGAGGAGTCAAGGAATATAAAATAAGGAAATGTTAAAACTATAAAATCTGCTTTATGGTGTAAAATTATAGTTTTAATAAACTTTGATATAAACTTTTGAAACTGCCTCTGTGAGCGTGTGTGTGTGCAAATAAAAACAAAGTCAGCTTCTTTAAAAGATTTATAAAATTTTAATATACATTTTATTCTCATCCACACACACACACACACACACACACACACACACACACACACACACACACACACACACACACACACCATAAATAAAACAGAAGATAGAGACAGTGAGTCAGTGGTGCGACTGGTGTTCAGGTTCCTGTTTTACTCGTCAGGTTTGATTTTCACTCTTCAGACGGTAAAAACAGCCGAGACGTCGGAGAAAGAAGCTTCAAAAACAGGAATTTCACAAAGTTCTGCAGTCTGTCATCGTTTATTAACAATAAAGTTTATTTTCTGCCCCACAGACTGTATTTCCACTTTATAAAAGATGTCTGTAATATGTCGTCTGATTCTGAAATGTGGAACTGGTTGTTTTTGTTCTGGTGCCTAAATGGCCTAAAGTATGTGGACACAACGTCTCTGTGTTTTTAATAATATTCAGGATCTGGTTTCAGGCTTTTTGTTCCAATAAAAAAGGAAATTAAACAGTTTCAGACAACAACTGTTCATTATGTTGATTTACGACTTAACTGAAATTGGGCTGCTGCTAAAACTTATATTTTCTGGATTAATCGATTATTGTTTTATCTAAATTCAGCCAGAAAACTGTGAAAAATGCTAATTATGATTTCCCGCGGACCAAAACAGTCAACCCCCCCCCCCCCAAACATATTCAGTTACAATAAAATAAAACTATTAAAAAGTTTAAGAGAAACAGAAATTGGACAATTTTGATTTTGAATTAATTAATCGACTGTAAAAACATTTCTGGCTGTTTGGTTTCATTGTTTTTTATTTCCAATTATTTAACTGAACTTTCAACATTTAGCTACAAACATTAAATATTTTTCAGATTTGATGATCAGATTTGCTGCTGTTTAGTTTTCTATTGATCAACTTATAGATTTATCGACTTCTTTGTTTTCTGTCTCATTTGAACTCGAACCTGTTTGGACTCGTTCTGGACTCGCCCGGTTCTCTTCTGTTTCCAAGTGCGAGGGAGAAACTACGTTGTCTATCCTCCTAAATGTTACAAACTGGAGCTTTAAGATGCTGGAACTGCAGTTGAAATAGTTTCTGATTAATGTTCTGTTGATCTCCTGATTATTCAATGACGTCGAGGCGTTTTGGGGCGGTCGGAGCAGCTTTGTGAGATTCTGTCCAACCGGCTCCTTCCAGCCAATCAGCCTCCAGAGAAACAGAACCTGCAACCAATCACATTTGGCCCCGACACACAGCGGATACAGAAAGCACAGTTTATATAACAATCGCATATGAATGTCGTTAAGACGTAGAAACGAACTTTTGCTTATTTTACAGTGTAAAATGTACAAGTTCACACAGAGAGAGAGAGAGAGAGAGAGAGAGAGAGAGAGAGAGAGAGAGAGAGAAAGAGATCACACAAAGAACATCTGGATAAACGCAGCTCAGACTGGAGATTTGATCACATCTGGCTGCAGGCGGTGGGAAAGAGACCTCAAAAACAAGTTAGAGAGAGAGGACGCTCGACAAGATGGAGGTTTTTTACAACCCGAGTTTTGAGCTTCTGAATCTCTAAATTCTGATCCGGAGCCAAAAACTAGAAAAAATAAGTCCAGTGGAGCAGAAACTGGTGAAAGAACCAGAACTAGTTTGGTGTAAAGGGGGGGTGTCCCCTCCTGGTCCACGATTGAGTGTTTTTGAACCATTCAACTGACCTCCGCCCACTATCTTACCATCATATTTTAGCTCCTAACTGATCACGGACGTATGAATGAATGTGACGATGTAGCAGGTTGATATGAAAGTGTTTTCATTCAAAATGTTGTAGTATTTTATAGTGTTTTATGTTTCTGATCTACTGGAGAGGAGACACGACGAGACAGAGGTTTTTTTACAACCTGAGTTTTGAGCTTCTGAATCACTAAAATCTGATTTGGAGCCAAAAAACTAGAAAGAATAATTCCAGTGGAGCAGAAACAAGAGCAGTCAGACCTTCAGAGAGGTGGAAAGGAGTCCTTCCTGGTCCACACTTCTCTTCCTAATAGTTCCTGTTTGGAGCCACAGTTTAAAGTGTGAACCATTCAACTGACCTCCGCCCACTATCTTACCGTCATATTTTAGCTCCTAACTGATCACGGACGTATGAATGAATGTGACGATGTAGCAGGTTGATATGGAAGTGTTTTCATTCAAAATGTTGTAGTATTTTATGTTATGAACCACTAGAGGCAGCTCGTGTACGACCAGTAGTACCTCAGTTTATGAACCAGTGCACTTGAGACATTTCTGTTAGCCAACTTCCGGTTTAGCCCTTCGCTAACTTGAATGGAGGTAACGTGATTTAATCGTGCGGCTCTACGACACTTTCCAAATGTTATCGGACCGAATGGATCAAGTTCTGATAGTTAAACGAGTCGTTTCGTGGAGGTTGTGACGATCAGAAACATTAATCCGCCCTTTTATTCTTTCACAATGTAACCTTATGGTAACCACTCTTTCAGAATTCATTTCCCAGAGTTTTTATTGACAATACAGGACATATAGGACCAATAATTCACCGGTATTGTATTGACTTATTTCTTGATGATGCAGGTTAAGGATGGAAAAGTTACAAAAATAAGACTCAGGTTGTAAAAACAGTAAATTTCCTTTAATAAGTTTTCTTGTGATTTGCTCATTCAGTAATAAAATCTCACCGATTCATCGTTAAAGCTTTTGTTACAGTTATAAAACCTGGAAAAAGGAAAACCTGTCGTTGTGTTTTCATCAGATAAATAATCTTTTATTTCATATTATAAATGTCAAATATAATGAAAAGATTGGTCTTCGATATCGGCTGTGGAAACAACAGCGTGAAGGGATTTTCTTTTCTAATCTTCTTGTTTTTATGTGCAAAATTAAAAATAAATCAAACTTTCATCAACAAGATAGCCAAATCAACTACATTTCCCAGAAAGCACCTTGTCTACACTGATTTAAAGGTGGAGGAGTGGAAGTAAATCCTGATTGAGAAGCTAATATTCAGCTTTTTAAAAATCATTGAAGTGCTGAAACGGATTGAACAGAACAGCCATTGGTCAGTAAAGGGCTTCTTTCCACCAACGTGGAGTTAATTAAAATGATCGATGACTTCTCTAAGGCACAGGATGAGAAAGCGTCGTTACTGAAGTGTGTTTGTACCCTGAAGCGGCAGCGTTGTGTTACCGTCGGTGGTTTTGAGGCCTAATTCCAACGTTTAGCATCGGGATGTTCTTATGCACAAGGTGGCGAGTGTGAAAGAGCTTAAATATGACAGAAAAGTGTCGTCAGCTGTACAACTGAAACCATCTGAATTTAAATAAACCAGTGTGTGTAGAGGAAGTAGCATGAAACATAATATATGGATCCCAGAAACAAGCCCGTGTAGTGGAGGTGTAAGGGTACGTCTCTAAACTCTCACACCCGTACTTTGGTTCAGTCGGTCTGGAACAAAGAGAAAGGAAAGATTTGCTGATTTACTTTTAGTTCTGTTCTGATTTGTGTTCGCTCCGACTGAAACGAGCGCCAGTTAGCTAAATCAGGCTACTCAGGTGAGCTAACTTTAGCATCATTAGGTTTGGTGAAAAGAAAAAGCCGAGCAGGAAGAACCTCCGATATCATTTACAAACTATACAAACAGAAAACTAGTGTCAGCATCGTTTGACTCAAGTCAGATAAAGTCTCTGGAAATACCCGAATCAAACGGCAGGTACCAGATTAAAGGTGTCACCTTCCTAAGCCCCGCCCCTTTTTGGGGACCTAGTTAGATATGCTATGTGCTAGGCTAGTTGTGTTGAAAAGACAACCACATTTTGAGGACGATTAAGAGATAATTTCAATGTGGTTGTCTTCTACACAGACGAGCTAGCGTATAGCACATCTCAAAAAGTGTTTCTATATCGACAAAAGTGTGAAATAATTTCACGTCTAACAACATGTGACCAGACACAGTCATCATGTATGGAAGTCTGTGGCTGCAAACATAAAGATTAAATCGCTCAAACAAGATAACAACAACTCAAGTTTTCCGCTCGTGTGACAAAATTCAAACAAAATTCAAAAAAAATAATATTTTTTCAGTCTACTCTTAAACATAAGACTGGCTTAATCTAAACATCAGCAGACGATGAACTCTTGAAATTAAATCCTGATTTTAGCCTTAATGACGTAAAATTTATAATATCAGTGTTCTTTTAAATAAAACGCAGTCGGAGATTCTTTTATTGACGAAGAAACTTGATTTGATTAAATTATTTCACTTTGATATTGGCAGCCACAGACCTCCATAAAGATTAAAGCTTCATATGCTCTAACGTTACTTTATGTGAACACACTTATTACAACTATTATTACTGCCTCAGTTTTACTTTAAATAATTGATTATATGTAAACGTTTAAATTTTACAGCATAAATTAAGACCTGTAAGTATGGAGGACCAAAGTTGCTGTTATGATAAACAGATAAATAAATGACTTAATTAATACATGAAATAATAAAGACAGAAATGTGGAAATAAAAGCTTCAATTATCAAATAAATGAACAAGTTAATTACAGATAAAATATGCACAGAAATAGATTTTTTTTAATTTGACAAATTATTTATGTTTCTATTATTTATTTTCATATTTATCCGATCTGTTTACATTTATTTATGTTTTTATTTATTCTGTTTCCTATTTGTTTATTTATTTCTGTATATCTTCACACATACGTTAACGAGAGTGCGTATCTTGACTATTTAGGCATATAAATAAATAAATAACGAAATGAATAAATTGGGAAATAATTAAATATGAAATTAAATAAATATAAAAATACCTAATTTGTCAAATAAATACATATATTTATATATATATATTTCTGTGCATATTCATTTATCTTTAAATACCTGCACATTTATTTGATAATTTTTTATTTACACAATTATGTCTTTATTATTTCATATATTCAAATAAGTAATTAAATAATTTATTATAATGGCACCTTTAGTCCTCCATACAGTAGATCTGTTTGCGGTTTGCTTTCGCTAAAGAAATTAAACATACAAAACCCTAAACCATGAATGTTGTACCGATACACCTCCACCATAAACCACCTACAGAGGAATCAAAACATTTCTTCTCACATGTTTTAAGTTTTCCGCGTCCAACCGTGAAAAGCGAACCGAGTAGTGGTCAACACCTTCTAAACGATAGATTAAAAAAAAAAACAACAACTACACATCTCTAATCTTCGGAGGGGCAACGAGGAGCGAACTGGAGCCGGAGGGTTGTGGTCGGTCGGCGGCAGATCCGCATTAAAAACCCTCCACAGGTCAGAGGTCAGTTCTCCCAGCAGCCACCTCGTCCTCCCCAACAACTGCTCTCTGAGGCCGGGAGCTTCCTCCAGTCCCAGACCAGAGTTTCTCCTCACAGGAAAATCCCACAAGTCCTTGCAGTCTTAATTAGTCAGTGCCATCGGTTGTGAGATCCTAAACACACTTCATCCTCCTCGTCTTCCTCCAAACCTCAGAGTCCTTCTGCCCCGGGGGCGAGGAGGGAGGGCGGGTCATACCTCGTGGAAGCAGTCGGCGGGCGGGCTCCTCTCGACTCCCCTCCACCGCTCCACCATCTTGATGACCTCGGACACCACGCACACCGAGGAGGTAAGGGTCACGAGAAACAGCAGGTCTGCGGGAGGACCACAACGTTAACGTCATGCTGCTTTTAATGCTCCAAATTCTGCGTGGAACAATTCTTCAAAGACTCACCGAAGAAGCTCAGGCTCTCCGTCTGGAAGACGTTCTGCAGAGGAGGGAAGTAGATGACGAGGAGCTGGCCCATGATGGAGCCCAGGACGGCGTAACAGAACGTCCTGTTGCTGCACAGACCCATCTCGTGGACCATACGGGTCTGAGGAGCAACCGCACAGAGTCAGACATCAGGCAGTCAATGTAACCCCGTTTGTGGTTTTATTCAAATTAAACACTATAAAGGCAACTGGAGATTATAAAGTGTATCCAAGCTGCAGTTCCTCTAACGGCCACTAGAGGCTCCAGCAGTGAGTGAGTCTCCATAAGGCTTCACATTAAAATGTCCAACTTTACGAAAGGCAACGGTTAAATAAAATTATAAAACGCAATTTTAATTTCTTTCGGCAACAGTTATTTTTCTCAGGTGTTTCTGAAGGTTACCTGTGAACGAGAGCTCAGAGCGTTGAACATGTCGAAAAAGACGAAGCAGGTGAAGGTCATGGTGGTGTCTCGAGGAGTGATCACGTTGTCCTGCAACTGGAAACCAAAAACAAACACTCAGCTGTAAATACGTAGAAACTGTTTATGTACATAGGATAAAGTTTTAACTGTTTTATTCTCTTCTGTCGCTTTTTATTTCTTAATTTCCTTTTGTTCTGACAAAGACTCGTTGTGCTCGTGATCAATAAAGTCTGATTGTGTGTCAGTAGCAGCAAATCCAAAGCAACATCAAACACTGATGCATTTGTAATATGTAATACATTAAGTAGCTTAAGTAGCAATTAGCAGATGGAGGGCAGCAGTCGTCTTCTACACTCACAAACTCTCTAAAATCATTTACAGCAGCTCAAATCGATCAAAACGTGAAACCACGAGGAGCTTTTACCGAGTACCAAAGAGGATTTATACGGATATATTAAAAACATTAGACACCAGTTTAATATCAGCAGCTTTATAATGAATACAAACTTCATTCTGTAACCAACTGAAACTGTTTGAGAGAAACTTAGTTGAGCTTCTTTAAAGACTCTTTACATCACGAGAGAGAAACAAACAAAAGGAAAGAAAGATCCACCTCTCTCCAGAAGACAAACAGCGTCCCGCAGACGATGACGAACGCCGACACCAGGACTTTGACGATCAGACTGCGAGTGAGGATGCTGTCTCTCACGTTACGAGGAGGCTTTCTGATCACGTCCTGGTCCACAGGCTCAACGCCCAAACTGACAACAGAACACTCGCCGTCACAAACAAAGCCGCCACAAACACTCAAAAACTAAACCCAGGTCCCATGATGCCCCTGTACCTCTGAGCGGGAGGCCCGTCCATGATGATGTTGATCCACAGGATCTGCATGGCGTTCAGCGGCGTGGGGAAGTTCATCAGGGTCACCAAGGAGATGAGCGTCAGAGCCGCAATACTCCTGGAGACCAGCAGGGGGAGTGTCAGGAGATCATCGTCACTGTTTGACTTTATATTCAAATCGCACAAATCTTTATTAAATGACTGTAAAGCTAACAGAGCCGAGCTGCTGCTAACGTTAGCTCAGCTTGTTTCTCTGATAACTTAAGATCCAGACGTCCGATGACTAAAATCCTTCATCCGGTTCAAATCTAGAGTTAAAAAGCACCAAGATCTAAACAGTGGATGGTAACAATGTGGCTTCAGACTGGATCAACAGTCAATGTATGACAGCTTCTGGCAGACAACCACAACGCTGACGCAGGCACAAAGGGGATATGACGCCATCGACAGGCGAGCGGTGAAACGCGGCGTTACCTGAATGAAACACGATCAACTGACTGAGAGTATGTTTCCACTCACGTGCTCAGCTGGAAGCGGACAAAGTTTTTAATGTTGTTGTAAATTCCTTTTCCCTCCTCGATGGCCGACCTGGAAGCAGAGAACAGACGTTACTTTTCTGTGCTTTGAAAGTTAACCTTCGACCTTCCACTGCCGGCGTCCGTCCGACTCACATGATGGTCTGGAAGTCGTCGTCCACCAGGATCATGTCGGCCGCCTCCTTGCAGACGTCGGTGCCCGTCTGGCCCATCGCCACGCCGATGTCTGCGGCCTTCAGAGCCACGGCGTCGTTCACCCCGTCGCCCGTCATGGCCACCACGGCGCCGATGTTCTGGAGGGACTGCAGAGAGACTTTCACTTTAATAAACGGTTCTGTATCCGTCGATGGCAGCGGTTCATTAGTGTTGTGTTTCAACCTCCGACCACTAGATGGCAGCGTTGTAATCTTCGGACAGTTGACTCTTCCACGGCACAGAAAGTAGTGCCGGATGTTTGGATGCTGGAACTTTTATGTTGGTGTGGAAACTGTTTCCATCGATGATGTTTAGAGCTCAAACGCAAACGGTTTGTTTTTATGTGAAGATGAAATGATGAAAGTAATAAAGTAATCTGATACAGAATAAAGTAATCTGATACAGAATAAAGTAATCTGATACAGAATAAAGTAATAAAGTAATCTGATAGAGAATAAAGTAATCTGATACAGAAGTAATAATATAGAAAGTAATCTGATACAGAATAAAGTAATCTGATAGAGAATAAAGTAATCTGATACAGAATAAAGTAATCTGATAGAGAATAAAGTAATAAAGTAATCTGATAGAGAATAAAGTAATAAAGTAAACTGATACAGAATAAAGTAATCTGATAGAGAATAAAGTAATAAAGTAATCTGATAGAGAATAAAGTAATCTGATACAGAATAAAGTAATAAAGTAATCTGATAAAGAATAAAGTAAAATAGTAATCTGATACAGAATAAAGTAATCTGACACAGAATAAAGTAATCTGATACAGAATAAAGTAATAAAGTAATCTGATACAGAATAATGTAATCTGACACAGAATAAAGTAATCTGATGCAGAATAAAGTAATAAAGAAATCTGATACAGAATAAAGTAATCTGATACAGAATAAAGTAATAAAGTAATCTGATACAGAATAAAGTAAACTGATGCAGAATAAAGTAATCTGATACAGAATAAAGTAATAAAGTAATCTGATACAGAATAAAGTAAACTGATACAGAATAAAGTAAACTGATACAGAATAAAGTAATCTGATACAGAATAAAGTAATAAAGTAATCTGATACAGAATAAAGTAAACTGACACAGAATAAAGTAATCTGATACAGAATAAAGTAATCTGATGCAGAATAAAGTAATAAAGTAATCTGATACAGAATAAAGTAATAAAGTAAACTGATACAGAATAAAGTAAACTGATGCAGAATAAAGTAATAAAGTAATCTGATACAGAATAAAGTAATAAAGTAATCTGATACAGAATAAAGTAAACTGATACAGAATAAAGTAAACTGATACAGAATAAAGTAATCTGATACAGAATAAAGTAAAAGTAATCTGATACAGAATAAAGTAATCTGACACAGAATAAAGTAATCTGATGCAGAATAAAGTAATAAAGTAATCTGATACAGAATAATGTAAACTGATACAGAATAAAGTAAACTGATACAGAATAAAGTAATCTGATACAGAATAAAGTAATAAAGTAATCTGATACAGAATAATGTAAACTGATACAGAATAAAGTAAACTGATACAGAATAAAGGAATAAAGTAATCTGATACTGATATTAAAGGCGTGGGAAGTGAATCTCTGCTCACCTTGACGATCTTCAGCTTGTGTCTCGGACTGGCTCGATAAAACACGGCAATCTGTGGAGACGGAGGACAGCAGTTCATTCAGGTTGTTAGAGCTCATTAAAACTAAAGTTAAACACTTAAACGAGGTGAAACTATATAGAAAATATTCTGTATTAAAATTATTATTATTATTATTGTTATTGAGACAGTGAGTCAATTTGTTTGTGTTGTAATACTTACGCAGTATCTACCATTAATATCATAAAAATTACTAAAACTAATAAAAACTACACTGTAAAAAGAATCTGCAAGTTTATAAGTTTTCACTTTTAATTTACTAGATAAAATTATTAATAAAGTTCCCAAAATATCCTGTGAATTTACATGTCTAATGTAAAATAACATGAACAATCTGTAACTGTAAATAATCATAAATTACTGCTTATTTAAAGATAATGTCCCTTTTTTAACATAAAAAGATTAAATACATTATTGTTTCACTGATATTTATTGTTTATCTAATAGATTAAACTGTTAAATTCAAGTTCAATACTGTTAATACATTTCTAAAAAGCACTGATACTGTTTTAATCAGTGAAAACAGAAATAATCTGCTCAAAATTCATCCAAATCTCTCTTTGACACAAACTTCCTGCAGTTACTGAGTTCACTGTTTGGTTCATTGTGCAGTTTATCATCGACAACAACGTGATGTTCACGTGTTGGTTGTAATGTCTCACTGTGTGTTGTTACAGTGATCCAACCAACCAGTGTCAGAGCTGATTATGTTCACAAAGATCAGATCTGTTGACCAACAGTTGGCTGACAGTACAATTAAAGGAAATATGAATATATCTAACAATAATAATAATAATAATAATAATAATAATAATAATAAGAAGAAGAAGAAGAAGAAGTGCGTGAGGGTCTCACTCTGGGGACGATGTTTGAGAGCTGCTGCAGGTCGAGCTGATCCACCTCGTCTCCGGACAAACACTGACAGCCTTTAGAGTACAGACCCAACCGACTGGCTGCAGACACACAGACAGGCAGACACACAGACAGGCAGACACACAGACAGGCAGACACACAGACAGGGTAAACATCCAGGAGAGTTTCAGTTAGGATTCAATGTGTGTTCCCTGAAAGGTCAGAGGGCAAACAGTAGTCTCTCTCTCTCTCTCTCTCTCTGACCTATGGACACGGCGGTCTCCTGGGAGTCTCCGGTGATCATCTTGATGGCGACCCCGGAGCTGATCAGTGTCCCCACAGCTTCTTTGACCCCTGACCTCGGTGGGTCGATGATGCCCACCAGACCCAGGAAGGTCAGGTTCCCGAGCTCAGAACCCGACGCAAACGCCAGCACTAACAGAAGAGACAGGCGAGGGGTCAGTGTGCTGACATAATCAATAATCTTACAGTATTTATGCTCTGCTGGGTTCTGACCTCTCAGACCGGCGCTGCCCATGTAGCTGATCTGCTGCTGGAAGAGCTCCCTCTGCTGGTGGTTCAGTGACAGTGTGCTTCCTCTGCTGCTGTAGGAGCTGCAGTGACGGATCACCTGCTCATACGCTCCCTTCATGAAGTAAACTCCAGGCTTATCCTGGGGGGCGGGGCAGAGACAGCATGTGAATGAAGTTTTCCACCAAACAAGAGTTGGAAAAACTAACATAGATGGTTTTGGTGAGTTTTATTCTGTTTCTGTCCAGTTTTAAGTGGGATTTAGAATATAGTTTATATATATATATATATATATATATGACAGAGCAGCAGAATAACAGATGAGTCTGTAGATTATTTCATTATTTCTTCATACAAAAAGCACTTTTATAAGCTCATGATCTCAACCTGACTCCTTCTTAGTCCATTAGTCAACTAATTGCTTCCTAGTGTTATTTTATAGGGACTATTAGTAATTAGTCATTACTGGAAAGTGATAAGAAACTCTCTAACCTAAAATATTCTGTGGTTTTTAATAAACAGAAGACTTTATAACATCTTCACTGAGTCATCTGTGAAGGGAAAGAGCTATCAGACAAACAATATGGATGTTAGTCAGTTAGATCCAGATATATTATTGAGGACAGTTCTGATTCGGAGGAAGCCTCACTTTAATTGTTTTCTCCAGAGAGATTTAAGGGATTTAATATTAGTATTCTTAAAAGCTTGAAGTGTCTCTCAGTGAGTGACTACAGGTGGAGGACATGCTGACCTGCAGCGTGCGGTGAACACAGCGAACAGCCATCCACTTCTGCTCCGAGGTGAACGGGTGCTCCTCCAGACGGACGTACTCCTGCTGGAGGCTCTCCAGACCCATCTGGAAGACACAAAGCACAGCTGGATCAGAAACACAGCTGGATCACACAGCGTAGGAGCAGAAACCTCGTGTACAGTGTGTATAACGGACAGAGCTTCTGGGGCTGGGAACCTGCATTATATGTAACGGCCAGCAGGGGGAGCTCCACTGGCTGCAATAACACACTGATAACATTCAGTCTGATGGAGAAAACATAAAAGTGGAGAGTACGATGTGGATAAAAACCCTAAATTTTATTAAACAAAACTGACATTCCCATCATCCTCCAGCTGTACTTCATGTTTAATGCTAACTGGCAAATGTTAGCATGCTAAGACGCTAAACTAAGATTTGGATGACTATAATGAAGCTGTAAGTAACTGCAGATTAATGCCAAATACTGACATAGAAACACAGTTTGGTGCTCTTGTTTTGTTTAAAAAGATATCTTCTGATTTCTCACTGACGCTCACTGGTGCATTGTGGGAGACACTGACCTCCCAACAATCACTTCACATGAGAGTAGAACCAGTTTGGCACATTTAGTGATGTGTCGAAAATGTGTCGCACAGAGATTGCCCCCCCCCCCAGCACACTGATCCATCCACAGCAATCAAAATATAAAAATGAAAGATCGGCGTGCTTTAATGTTCATTATGTTAATGACATAAGCTGTATGACTCATCTCCCCAGTCACACCAGTAAAGGGCAGGCGGAGGACGGGCGTTCTGCCTCAAGCTGCAGGAAATTAACAGAAGACGAAGTTTCTGGATCCTTCTTCATCCTTCAGGTTCTTATTAATCCTCAGTAGGAGATGATGCAACATGGTGGACACTGTTCACGGCTCAGTAACAGAGCGAGGAAGCTGCTGCCACCAAGATTTATTCACATGGAAGTTGGTGTTCTCTGAAAGTTCCTGTCTACTAAAGGCAAACATACTTAAAGCTTATATATATATATATATATATATATATATATATATATATATATATATAGACACACATGTTCAACTGTTAGAACACATGTGGAAGCTGTAGATTGGTTTGGTGCACTGTACTGAGTGAATCTACCTGCAGTGATATTGAATGTGAGATTAATGTTGTTCACACTGAAGCTCTCCGTGTGAACTCTGTCTGTGCAACCGTTGACGGGAGCTCAAATTAATAAGTTCTCAGAAATCTGTACCAGGATCTGGTTCAGGATTTGTTTGTTGTTGTTTTTTTGACCTCTAAATCTGAGCGTGTGAACTAACGTCTGCTATCGGAGACGCCGTAGCACAGACTCAACACAGAGTCCAGATTTAAATTCTCGGCCCAGTGGTTCGTGTGTTTTTACCTTCATGGCGAGGGCGATGAGCGCTCCCTCCGTCGGTCGTCCCAGCAGAGCGTGATTCCTGATGACTGAGTCGTTACACACGCAGCCAACCTAACATCACACACACACACACACACACACACATCAATTAACATCTCTTCTCCTACAACAGCAAGGTAAGCTTTCCCTTCATTATTCCAAATAAAGTTTATGTTTCTACTTTGTCCAGTGTGTGAGAATAAACTCATGAGGTGGGATTCTGACATTGTAAATCATTTGAATAGTTTCCAGATGTTTTATGGCAGCAGCTCTCGTGTGTGTTGACTCACCTCCACGATCTTGCTGATTGAAGGACACGAGAAGCCGTGGATGATCTCTCCGTCCAGTAAAACCTCCCCCGCTCCGTTGTAGCCGACGCCCGTCACCTGCAAGACAAAATCACAGGTATAAAACAAACCCAGTGGTAAAGTACAGAGCCTCCAGGAAGTGTCTTAAACCTGCAGTCTATGTAATGGCCAGCAGGGGGAGCTCCATGCTGATACCATTCCGTCTTATGGAAGTTGAGCCGACTTCTCAGTTGATTTATGAGCTCAGTAAACAGTTTCCTGATGAGTTTCAGTCTTCTTCCATACAGCGTTCATTTATTAACTGATGGTCCCATTGAGAGTACAACAGACTATAAAACAAGGTCTGCTTCTTGCTACAGACAAGTTGAAACTGCGCTGAACTCAAGGCTTTAAAAACGGTTCTCCACAAACCACAATATTGGTTAATAATGGGTTACATCACAATAGGTTCACAGTTGCTTCAAGCTAAGCAGATCCCTCTGCTAATAGTGAACATACTTTAATCACTAAAATGTCAGCTGGGATCGGCTCCAGCCTCCTGCGACCCTGCAGAGGACGAGCTCATCATTCATCATGATTGTAAGTATTGAAATATAGTTTGACAGGTGTGACACTTTATCTGATATTACAGGTCATATTATTGTCTCATTGTGTCATTAAGGAGTCATCAAGTTAAAACCAGAGAAGGTCTCCTGGTCCTCAGTCACCTGACCCACTTCTCCAGTATGGCAGCTGGGATTTCCAGATGAAGGAAGTGGGTCGGTCTGTTCTCTGCGGGCTGTTCAGACGCCACATTACAGCGGCAAACTCATTTCTCACAGTGTTTCCACAATAAGCAAAAAACTGTTAATGTGACTTTGACAAAGACACTTTGCTAGTTGAAAGGTGATGGATCGAACTGACAGAATGTCTGCGAACACTTCGGAATCAATCGGTCGAAATCGTCTGATCAGTAAACTGACAAACCGACTTTAAAGGTTATATATATATGAGAACGTTAACACAGGAACAAACAGCTATTCTCTGTGTAAAGATATAGTGAAGTCACGGTGTCACACTCTGCCTGTGTTGCTAAAATAATCAAAATACAACGACACGATTAAATTAAATGTGTTATAGGTTAAACCTCACAAAATAACACTTAATAATAATAATAATAATAATAATAATAAAAATAATAATCACTCATCTATTTTAACTTTTTACATAGGAAACAGTAAGAAATACAGATTTAGTGTAATAAATTAGTAGGAAGAAGACTGAAGTTACTGCACTCTGCCTTTGCACTACCTTTACATCTGTTTATGCTAATAAGTCCCAAAACTTTGAAGCTATTTTACTCAGTTTCATTGTTAGTGTAGTTACTGCGGTTAGCCTCTGGAGGGCAGCACAGAATACGTACATTTTCACCATCACTGACTGACATGTATAAAGATTAATACTTAAATCTAAACTCAAACTAAATATAAAACAGTAAAAACTAAAAGCTGATGAAAAATCTACAAATCTAATAATGACTGAGTTTCAGACCTCAGCGTGGAGTCCGTCTGACGTGAACAGCTGAGTGACCGTCATCTCGTTCTTGGTCAAAGTTCCCGTCTTGTCTGAGCAGATGACGTTACAGCAGCCTAAAAAAAACAACAACAACAACAACAACAACAAGAGGAGCAACGTTGACAGGAGACATAAACAGCAAGAAAATATATTATAATCACAAAATTGTCTCTCATATGAAAATCAACATTAGAATGAAGAACTATTAAAATGTCACATTATCATCATTTTAATAGTTCTTTTTAGTCAACATTAAATTTGTGATGCAACAGTGGTGACGATGAACAGCCCCCAGAATAAACACAGAATCCAAGTCGCTGTTGGGGCTTCAGGTTAAACCGGACTCGCTGTGCCAGGGCGCCGTACGTAACATACCCAGAGTTTCTACGATGGGAAGCTTCTTGATGATGGCTCTTTTCTTCACCATGCGCATCACACCGAGCGCCAGCGTTACCGTCACCACGATGGGTAAACCCTCTGGGATGGCAGCTACAGCCAGGCTGAAGGAGAGGAGATCGTGATCAATAATCAATACAACTGTTAACACCTCACTGCAGCTACACAGGTTATTAAGGTAATCACCTTGTTTTGTTTTTTTACCAGGTAACAAAAGCCAGAGTGCAAGTTTGTCCATGAGGTCCGTGTTGTTACGAACACGTTAGGAATTGTTAAATGTGATATTTCTTAAAGGGAGTTTGGTGCAGGGAGCTTTTAGTTGGATTCAAACTGCTGATATGGATCATTGTTAACGTTTAGTCTCCACTACAGAAACACTAGCTAACTGCTAAAGGCTGATCAGGTTGTCTGATGTTGACTGCTGTTAGTTATTAGTTTGATTAATGCTTTAATAATGTGTGTATTGATAACTTAAACTTAAGTAAGTCCCTCAGTTAAGGCAGAATTAAGCCTTAAGAGTGCAACCGGCCCCTGATCCCGACACCTACCACACCTTAAGGAATTGCAGCCTTTATCACAACAACCTGAGTCTGATAAATCTAAACGTCCGACACGACAAAGGTCAGTTAGCTCTAATGTGATAACAGAAGTGACCTGACGGCTGCCAAAGCTGCTGCCAGAGTTTAATCATTTACCAAACACACACAGTGAGTGAAATCTGGCTACCTGACACCGATGGTGAACATGTCCAGGGTCCTCTTCCCCTGCAGCCAGCCCACCAGCATGATGACCCCTGAAACATAGCGTTGAGAGCACAGACTGAAACACAGGCTCATAAACGGGAGGATGGCAGCTGATAGAAAGCAAACCAACCAACCTATGATGCCGAAGGAATAGAGCGAGAGCTGCTTCCCCAGCAGGTCCATGCTCTTCTGTAACGGGGTCTTAGGAGCCTGGAGAAGAACAGGACACAGATTATAAACAAAGTCACATAAAAAGAACTTGTGGAGAGACTGTTTAGTGAGTAGTTCAATGTCACCAGCTTCTGCGTTAACTTATTTGAGCCGTATAATACAGCCTATTAAGTCTTAATGAGCCTATCAACATTACTAATAGGTCTAATGGAGACGCATTAGCCTCATGTTTTACCACAGGGTGGCTACTCTGTAGTTTATGATTATTTGGTACGTCAACTTTGCATTTCTATCACTACAACATGTTTGTTTTGTTGGTAGGAAATTATAGAACTACAATAATTAAGAAAACTGTTGACATTATTTGTTATTTGTATTCCCATTACCCACAATTCCACGTTTCAAACACTAGTTTGTCGGGTTTTCGGAGGTTATGAGAGAGAACGACCTTCTGAAGGGACAGAAGCCTCGACAAGCACTCGTTGCGACGCGTCTGTTTTTCCACGATGCACAAAGAGCGAAAAATCTCAGCTTTTTAGAACGCAGCAAGCACACCACAGGTCATGTGACATGAATGAACCAATGGCCTCTACAGGACGTAACATCCAGATAAAAGGTGTAAACTGTGTGACAGTTCTTCTGATGAGTGGATGGACTCATTAGCTGGACCCACCCGCCTGTGTGGGGCTGAGCTGTGGATATTAAACGTAAAAGTATCCTGTACCTCTGGCTGCCCTCCACTGAAGGAACTCTATTTACAGAATACATTTACATACTCGGAGAAATCAGGTAATCAGAGGTGTCTGTGGTAACCTGGTCGCTGTAAACCTGCAGACTCATGCAGCAGGTCGGTAATCAGCCTTTTTTTGGAACAATGCTTCACTTGTTTAAACTGTAACTGTGATACAGTACGCTGCTTCCCGAAATCTGTTTTGTTTCGCTCAGTGAGGGAGAGAGAGAGTTTTTCCTTACAGCGTAATTGTGTCTGAACTTTACAATGGTGAGTAGTGGAAACTTTCATCCCTTCTCTGCTGTCACACTTTCTATCATGCACAGTAATCGTTACCGTTCTGGACTGCATGTAAAGCCCAGTTCACACTCAGCTCGTCAAATCTCCAGGGGCTGCTTTCAGAGCTTAAGTCACATCACCTGTTTCAACAGCCAATCAGCTCGGAAGCAAAGTCAGCTGGTCGAAGCGGCAGAGTTTCAGATGGAGGAAAGAGAGGAATGGGAAACAATAAACCAATAGGTAGACGTATTGTTGAGGTTTGTGGGTTTGTGTAAACAATAATATTAATTAATAATAAGGACCGATGTCTGTTAGTGTGCCTGTCTGTCTTTCATATATCTCAAGAACCGTTCGTCTGATTGATTCATACCGCTCGGATGTATGTCTAATTCAAGGGAGTGCACTGTTTGGGTTTTCAATATTTCAAACAATTTGGTTTTAACTGGCCCTCATAGTTCTTACTCAAATGTTGTGTGCAGGGCTTACATCACACAAAAAATAGTCTCCTGAACGCTTTGTGTTACTGAAACAACATTTGGTGGATGTGTAGGTATGATATGAGTGACAGTGACAATTTTGGTGCCAATAGGTGGCGCTGTAGCAGAATCATCTAACTATAAAGGAGGGAATCTCTGAACGTCGTCGCACTCAGCAGTGTCGAGTGTCGGGCGCTGCACTAGTTCAGAGAACATTTAGCAGAACGTACCTCTTCTGCTTGCATCATCTTGAACACCTCCCCGAATTCTGAGTTCTCTCCGGTTCCGATGACGATGCCCTGAGGAACACCACACAAACAGTTCACATATATATTTGTTTTATTTTGGGAATTTTTGGGCAGGTGTGTTATGGTGCGTCGTTCATAAAAGAATAAAACCAAACCAAGAGAAGCAGCACATTTGTGTAACTTCTGGTTTAAGTTACGTCCTCTGAGCCTCTCGACATTAACTTCTGTTTCATTCTGTGTCACTTAGCCGGTTTCTAAATGCACAGTTTGACTGACTGCCCGTCAGAAAGTCTGATTTAAGATACCTGGATATTACATTTAACACCAACTAAAAAGCTGAATCTATTTCTGATTAAACAAACAAAATGAAACTATTTTAATAATCTGCTAAAACTAAAAATACAATTTAAGAAAACGTGATAATCCAGCCGGTACCTTGGCCTTGCCGCAGCGCACCAGAGTCCCCATGAAGGCGATGTTGCTGCGGGAGGCGATGTCTCCGTTGGTGGTTGCTGGCTGGTGGTAGGTGTACTTGGAGCAGGGGCTGGTCTCCCCCGTCAGACTGGACTCGTCCACGGTCAAGTCGGTCGACTGAGAGGGCGGAGGCGAGACAATGAGGTCAGTGAGCACTGATAAATGGACTTTACTGAGGTAGATGTGGTGGTAAAGGGCTGGTACAGTAGCCCAGAAGGGACAAACCAAAAGACTGGTTCTGAATAGGGACGTTCATGTTTTTTTGCACGTTTCGCGGCCACCATAGTTTCTCTTTTGCATTTGGGAGGGGAGGGGGAAACGAGGGTGTTGTGATCTGCAACTACACTGATAGATGCCACTAAATCCTACACACTGGACCTTTGACCCTGCGGACACCCTGTTTATGTTCTTTTAAATGCAAACTGCGTTTATTATACACAATACAAAATGTAACTACGTGCCTTGAACAGCGTTTCCCCTGTTTTAATGTCGTGTAGTGACTGCTCAGTAGTGCTTATACACTGACTGGTTGTGTGTCTGCTATGTTTTGAGGCGACTGATTGATTTTGAAGAGTCCGAGGTTTTGTGAATGTAGTTTGAAGATTTGGTTTTACATAAAATGGTGGAAGGTTTCAAGAACTGTGTTGGAAATGTACCAGCTGATCAGTGGATTCACTGTCCCTTTCCTTCCAGGAATTGCTGAAGAGTTTCCAGTTACATATCAGTTCCTTTCAAGAAATTTAAAAAGGAAATAAGACTCGCAGATTAAAGCACAATACTGTGGTTGTACTGGAAAGTGTGTGACTGTTTAAACAAGGTCATCCTGGAAAAATACATATCTATATCCTCTTTGAACTTGCACTAGATAAATACAAAGAAGAAACTCAAACATGTCCCAACAACGGCTTCAGTGTTGATGTTTAAACACCGACGTTTACTGGTGTATTATTGTGTACCTCGAAGAGGCGGAGGTCTGCTGGGACTCTCTCTCCCACCGACAGACAGACGGTGTCTCCGGGAACCAGCTCTCTGGCCAGCAGGTGCTCCAGGTTCCCATCCCTGACACTGAGACAGAAAGAGACAGACAGTGAATCTTTAGACCATCTTTGTGTCAAAATCAGCATCCAGTAAAAGAAAAATGAACAGAAAACAGGATTAAATCTAATAAGAGCAGATAAATTTAAATAAAAACCAAAAGATGTTTTAAAAATGTTTCAGTTGAGTGTTAAAGACAGAAAAGAAATGTTATGTTTTTTTATGACATTGTATTTGGTTTCAAACTGCTCCAGAGAGACAGCTCTGTATTTAAAGAGGTTCTCCACCATAAAAGCTGTAAACTGAATTATATAAATGCTGGTGTTAAAATTTACATAATTACCAA